TCCAATAAGGGTCCTTGACCCAGTTTTTTAGGAGGTAAAGGGTAAAAAAAAAAAAAATTAATGGGTTTTTGCTAAGTTGAGAAAACTATTGGAAATGAGTTCAGAATGACGTCATGACATTCAACAAACCATCACTGAAGCAAAAGAAAGGATATTGTGTTGGCATCAAGAAAATCAAAAGCAACATACAAGAACATCTACAGCAAGAGAAGACAAATCACCTAAACCCAAAGCGAAACCCCAAAGAGAAAGCGGAAGAGAGATATCAGAGAAATATAATTATATCAATATACCCAAAAATTTCTTATGACTATAGATTTATATTTAATTCATTGTAGTTTCTTTCACCTCATTAGAGCATGTACATTACTGACGTTACTGAATATCCAAGTAAACTCCCAAAAGGCCCAAACTAAGTAGTGATAAGCTGAGGATATGCGGTGAACCAGTCCATGTCTTGCAAAATGCTTTCACCGCCAGAGAGATTAGGAAAAACCTTAGACTATCTCCAACAAGGGTCTTTGGCCCGGATTTTTCAGGAAGAAGGATAAAAAAAATAAAAATTAATAGGCTTTTGCTAAGTTGAGAAAATTATTGGAAATGAGTTCAGAATGGCATCATGACATTCAATAAACCATGGCCGAAGCAAAAGAATGGATATTGTGTTGGCATCAAGAAATCAAAAGCAACATACATGAACATCTACAGTGAGAGAAGACAAATCACCTAAATCTAGAGCGAAATCCCAAAGAGAAAGCGGAAGAGAGATATCAGAGAAATATAATTATATCGATATAGCCCAAAAATTCTTATGGCTATAGATTTATATTTATTTCATTGTAGTAGCTTCCGCCTCGTTAGAGCATGTACATTACTGACGTCACTGAATATCTAAGTAAACTCCCAAAAGGCCAAAACTAAGTAGTGATAAGCTCAGGATATGCGTTGAACCTGTCCATGTCTTGCAAAATCCTTTCACGACCAGAGAGATTAGGTGAAACCCTTAGACCATCTCCATCAACAATCCTTGGCCCGGTTTTTTAGGAAAAAAGGGTAAAAAAAAAAGAATTAATGGGCTTTTGCTAAGTTGAGAAAATTATTGGAAATGAGTTCTGAATGGCATCATGACATTCAACAAACCATGACCGAAGCAAAAGAATGGATATTGTGTTGGCATCAAGAAAATCAAAAGCAACATACATGAACATCTACAGCGAGAGAACACAAATCACCTAAACCCAGAGCGAAATCCCAAAGAAAAAGCGGAAGAGAGATATCAGAGAAATATAATTATATCGATATACCCGAAAAATTCTTATGGCTATAGATTTATATTTATTTCATTGTAGTAGCTACACTTGGTCCATTTATATTTATTTCATTGTAGTAGCTACATTTGGTCCATTGTAGTAGCTACACATGACCCGAAATGGCCGTATCAGGTAGGGAAATTGCACATTTAAATCCTCAACTATTTGAAATCGGCACAAAAAATACCCAACTATTAGAGTGGCAAAATAATTCCTCAAGTCGTCGTTGACCACGCAAATTAGGGATTAATGAAGTCAACAGTTAACTCTCTATACGGTCGTCGTTAGTATTAATCTCGTTCTAATTTCTGTCATCGGGATTTCATTAGTTTGAACCCTAAAAAGCTCCAAGTATAAACCGAAGGCGATTTCCGGCGAAGCAATAAACCTGACTCCGGCGAGTTACAGCAGCGACGCGATTCAGAAGAAACAAGCTTTTTCATCAACAATGGTTAGGACTATGTGGAAAAGAGGCGGAAAGAAGCTTCCAGTTCGAAGAAATCGAGAACCAGAACCCGAACCTGATCCTCCGAGGTAATTTCGAACTTTGCTTGTGAATTTTGATTAATCAAAACTCGTGTTTAGAATAGAGAATTTCGATTGTAGGGTAACTGATGAAGAAACGAATATAGGTTTAGAAAGAGATAATGTTGATGGAGAAATGGCTACCAATGTTGAAAAAGAAGCGAATGTGTGTTTGGAAATTGTGTGCTTTAATAAAGAGAGAGTAGCTAGTGTAGATGAAGAGAGAGTAGGTAGTGCAGATGAACCAGAAGGAGGTTCTGCTGATGAACAGGAAGTTGCAGATGTTGAGAAAAATCCAGAAGAGTCTGTAAAGATTCATCGGTCGAAGGAGATGATTGTCCAGTAATTGTTGAAGACACTGCAGGATACAGAGAGAGTGAGCCAGCTTTGGCTGAAAATCCAGAGGATAATGATCCTGAGGAGGAGCTAGTCAATGTGCAAATATGTGAAGATGATGAATGGTTTTCGCATTTTGGAGAAGCTGCCCCTGAAGATGGAAATGGTGATGATGATAGTGGAGATGATATATGGGATGATGAACACATTCCAGATCCTTTGACAGATGATGATGAAGACAAAAATTGGACAGAGGAAAGGCCATTGAACTTTGGTCTGGATGACATTTTGGCATTAGGGAAGACATTCAACAATGCTGAGGAGTTCAAGTATGCATGTCTCACTTATTCTCTGAAGACACAATATGATATCAAGATGTACAAATCATCTCAGAGCAGGCTTGGAGCAAAGTGCACGAAAGAAAAAGAAGAAAACTGTGCTTGGAGGGTCTATTGCTCTTTTGAGAAGGGCAAAAACAAGCTGATGATTAAGTACTTCGATGGTAAACATGTTTGTGTAAGATCTGGATCGACGAAGCTTCTGAAAAGTGGTACCATTGCACAACTGTTTGAAGAAAGGTTGAGACTGAATCCTAAAATCAAGTCGCAATTCATGGTTGATGAAATAAAAAGAGAGTACAACATGAATGTTAGTGTGCATCAGTGTAGGAGAGCAAAGGCATCACTCGCAGCTGCAAGAAAGGCTAGCCATGAAGCTCATTGTGCTAGAATTTGGGATTACCAGGCTGAGGTACTTATGTCGAATACATGTTCAACAATGGAGATTGAGACCATTCCTGGTCCAGTATCTGGAAGCAGACAAAGATTCTACCGGCTCTACATGTGTTTTGAGGTATTAAAATCATCCTGGAAGGAATCTTGTAGGCCTATAATCGGTTTAGATGCAGCATTCATGAAGTGGGATATTAAAGGCCAAATGTTGGGAGCAGTTGGCAGAGATGGTGATAACCGAATCTTTCCTATTGCTTGGGCAGTAGTTGATGTGGAGGATAACCCAAATTGGTTGTGATTTGTGTAACTTCTGAAAAAGGATTTGGCACTTGAAGATGGAGTTGACATTACCATCATCTCAGATAAACACAGGGTTTGTCTAAGGTTTTTTTTTTGGGTAATGGTTTATCGATTTTGCACTTCTCTAATGGTGCTTGCTTGACGTGACAGGGTATTCTCAATGCAGTTCAGACAGAGCTTCCTCGTGCTGAACATAGAATGTGTGCTAGGCACATTGTGGAAAATTGGAAAAAGACCCACAAAGACATAGAGCTAGAGCGTTTGTTCTGGAAAATTGCAAGAAGCTATACTAGTGGAGCATTTGAGGATAACTTGGAAGCATTGAGGAAATACAATCAGGGTGCATATGATTCTCTGCAAAGCATTGCACCAAAAACGTGGTCTCGGGCCTTCTTCAAGCTTGGTTCTTGTTGTAATGACAACTTGAACAATTTGTCTGAGTCTTTCAATCGAAATGTGAGGGAGACAAGGAGGAAGCCGTTGTTGGATTTCTTAACCGAGGTAAGGAGGAAATGCATGGAAAGGAATGCAAAGAGAACTCTCTTAACAAAGAGGTGGAAGAAAAGAATCACACCAAGAGCAGATAAAGAGATTGAGTTGAATAGTCAGAGAGCTAGAGAATGCATACGCTACATGACCACATGAGATGAGCATGAGATCGACTTCCATGGTACAACGTATAGCGTTCATATGGGGAATAAAACTTGTGGTTGTGGCTATTGGCAGTTGAATGGGATCCCATGTATGCATGTTATGTGTGTCATCACAACAAAAAAGCTAGACCTGAATGAATATTTCTCGGATTACTATCTGACTTCGAAGTGGGTGCAGCTATATGCTAGGGGAATGAAGCCTGTCCAAGGGATGAAACTGTGGCCTCGGTTGAACAGGTTACCTGTGTTACCACCACCATCCAGATTTAAATATGGAAGACCTAATAACTATGCTAGGAGAAAAGGTCCTCATGAATCTTCATCAAATCCAAACAAGGTAACACGCCATGGTCGCATTCCTAGTTGCTCAAACTGTAAAAAACACGGACATAACAAGACAAGGTGTCCTAATCCAACCCAACCTCCTGAACCAAAAAGGAGAAGAGGTCGTCCAAGGAAAAACCAGGTTTGCTTTTTTTTTTTTACATGCTTCGGATCTAGTGTGGTTTGGATTTGATCTGGTTTTACATAGCCATTACCTTGTTTTATTGTAGTGAGAATCACCTGGAGCAGGATGGGAAGCTTCTCAGTCATCACAAGTAGGAGCTTCTCAATCATCACAAGGAAGAGCTTCTCAATCATCACAAAGAAGATTTGGTTTCTCAAACTGAAGCAGTCATTCTCTGTTTTTTGTTGCATTTCAGCTTGTTTTAGACTGAAATATCGGCTTTATGTTTTGTTGTGAACCTCTCTTCCTTGTCATTGGCTTTATGTTTTGTTGTGAACCTCTCTTTCTTGTCATCGGCTTTATGTTTTGTTGTGGTTGAATTTCTCTTTTGTATGAACCTATGTATCAGCTACTCCTGATTTTTCAGATGTAATGGTGGAGATCTTTTGATAAACTGTAATTCTTCCCAACCAAAACAGAGACCAATAGATAGAAATATAGATAGATGAGACAATCAATACAAAATCAATACAAACTTGTGTCTTACATAGAGATAAAGAGATAAATACATGTCTTAACAGAAACCAAAACACACAAATTTGGTCTTACATAAAGGGTCATAGCCACAAACTTGTTTACTTGTTACCAAATAAAAGTGTGTTTCCGACACTTTTGTGCAACATGAGGTGATAAATGATCACAAAAGCCAAAACACAAATACAAACAATGAGTACCAAGTTGTTATTTTGAATCTGCGTAGCTCAGTTTTGCATTGAATGACTTGATCTTTCACATTTTCCATCTCAAACTTCAACTCATTCACTCCCATAATCCCCTTCTCATTCTCGGATTCCCTTTCTAACAAGTCGATCACTTCTTCATATATCCCATCTTCGACCCATTTAAACAAATGCCCATTCTACATATAATGCAAACAGATGTGTGTATCATCATAAATATGCCGTTATCACTCTCATGAAAAACCAAGAGTTTAGCTAAACATAACAAACACAAAGGTAGAGAGCAGTAGTAACTTACCTCTCTGGAAACAGCACAACGAAAGTAAAGACGTCCAGGATTAGTTTTTGATGCTGATGTATAGATGGTAACATCACTTCCACACACACATTGTTTTGGAAATCCCTTTTTTCCATTGATGAACCCATACTTAGATGAACTCCCAAATTCATTTCTAGAGTATGAACTTTTCTCCTCCTACACTCAAACGATTTCAATTCTATTCAATTTTGTATTCTACTTACTCAAATCTGGATAGAAGAATAAGCTAAAAGAATCGACACTTACAGATTTCGGGTGGATAAGCGATGTCTTTGTAGATGACTTTATGTCCGTCTCTGGGCAAGCATTCTTGTTCTTCATGATGTTCTTCATGATTTCTCTGCCGGATTTCAAGCTTTCTCATTGAAATCAGAGCTCTGCAAACTCGCCGGACCTGGGTAAGCTTCGCCGGATATCGTCTTAGGTTTTTTTATTTGGGGTTTTTAGTTCACTCGTGTATTAGAACGAGATTAATACTAACGACGACCGTTTAGAGAGTTAACTGTTGACTTCATTAATCCCTAATTTGCGTGGTCAACGAGGACTTGAGGAATTACTTTGCCACTCTAATAGTTGGGTATTTTTTGTGCCGATTTCAAATAGTTGAGGATTTAAATGTGCAATTTCCCGTATCAGGTACTACACTTGGTCCATTTTCTTGATTTTGATGCATTTCAAGTGTTAGCAAAAATCATTGAGGCTCTTCATGTTTGGTTGCAGTACAGCTGGTGTTACGACATGGAATGTGGGATAGCTTGCGAATGCTATACATGAAGTCACCAAGTCATCTTAAACTATTTACATGCCTCAAGGCAAATAAGACAGGAGGGCTAATTTGTTCTTCTGCAATTGTTTTCATGGGAACTGAAAGTTTATCCATAAACAGTAACTTATCAGTGCATATTTTCTTATCTGTGCAGTAAAAAAAAGCAGCATATGGACACAAATTCGTTCTTGCTTCTGTTCTGGTTGATATTCAGGCCGGAACGATCGATTCTTGGATATTTATTCACCAAAAATATAAATTGTTTTCATCTCCATTTGCTATTTTTTAGTGAAGATGAAGTTAGTTGTAAATTGTCTGTACATCATGTATTTGTGCGTAATGTGTCTAAACCTCAGAATTCGTTCAAAGATACAAGGAGGATTCGCGCGTAGGCCTAACGCTCCAATGAGAACGCTAATCTCGTAATTAGTACTCTTTACTTGATATTAGCAGTGAAGTGAATACTTAAGAGTGTTGATAACCTCGCAATCCCTTAACAATAATATTGTTACTGAATCAGATATACAAATTGATTTAAATAAAGTGCATAGTCATAACACGTTTTCTAATTTGGGTAACAACTGATAGCATTTGTAGATATTTGCAAGAAAAAAAAAATTAAAATCCATTTCTAAATTGGGAAAATGTTAAAAATGTTTAAGAAAAAAAGAAAAGAAAATAGTTATAAAAAATAGCATAATGTATGTATTTTTCCACTCGTAGACGATTCTTTAACATTATTGGGTGGTGGGAAAAATAATATTGTCTATGTTTGGTGTTGAATAGATTTTTCTATAATCTCTTACAAAAAATAAACTTAATTTACGGAAGAAAAAATAGAAAAAATATAAATATATGTGGACTCGAGATAAAACTATAGAAACTGATGAAGAATTCAACAAAATCAGGATTCCTTCTAGTAATGATGGAACTTATTTCAAATAAGAAAGAGTACAAATACATATAATCTCAGTTTTCCACTCCGAAACCAGACTTCCACATACAAAGATAAGGAAATAACTTCTACTAGATTTTGTGTAATCTATTCTAGATACTCATATTAGGTTTAGACTTTACATACTTGTATAAATACCCTACCTTTGTGAATCAATAATATACATACACTTTTTCCATTCATTACATGGTATCAGAGCCTAAAGATCCTTGACCTAATTTCTTGTGATTGACATCAGGCCAGCAATTTGATGTGGGGAAATCTAATCACCACAGTGTTAGCTCTAAGGTTTTATGTCTATGATGGTTTATATAAGATTTTAAATTGCTGGCCTGATGTGGGGAAGTCTGGTTTGCGGAATGAGGTTTGCGTAAATCATAAATGGGAAGACAGATTTCAAAGAGTACTCATAGAATTAGGGTTCCTGATATCATCTATGTCATTACAGGTACACCGGGACATTCTTCTTATTGGAAAGAAAGGTCAAAGCTTACATACCCAGCAGGCCTAACAATCGACGGCGTACTTTTTAAGTGTTTCCGCAACCGAGATGGGCAATGCAAGAATGAGGTTTGCGGAAACACTTAAAAGTACACCGTGGATGGTTAGACCTGCTGGTATATAAGCTTTGACCTTTCTTCCAATAAGGATAATGTCCTGGTGTATATGTACAATGACATAAATGATGATCAGGAACCCTTAGACTATGAGTACTCCTCGAAATCTGTATTCCCATTTATGATTTACGTTCAAGAAGAGATCAACAAGGCTGGCTGCGACTGTACGTAGTTTATCCTGCAGTGAAGATTGTCTTTGTGCAAGGAAAAACGGTGGTGAGCTTGCTTATGATGATAAAGGGAATCTATTGAGAGGATAGTCTGTGGTGTTTGAATGTGGGACATCGTGCAAGTGCGTGAGACACACCCGTCGGATCAGAGCATCGTGAGATAGAGATAGAGATAGCTGGGGATGTGAAGGCTTTGTGTATGTGTATATACACGCAGTTGTGTGTGTATATGTGACCATGGATACATTGTACCATCTTATCTACCATGATTTTTTTCCTTAAGACGCCTCCTTCATTTTTTATAAAATACCACCAAATAAATTTATATTCTAGAATCTTCAAGGTCTAACTAGAGATATGAATATATGATTCCAGTAAATAAATTGTTCTGACAAAAGTGAATGCCAATTATCATTTTTTAGATATAAATCGTTGCTAATAGTTAAGATACATCACTGTTATAACTAAAATACACTTATGATATACATATTTACTTATAGTTTTTGTTTCCTTTGTTCTGTTTTAAGTTGTTTAAGGAAAGCTAATTCTATAATATAATGTTGATTAAAAATAAAATATGAGAAATACAAATAGCAAACAAACACATTTTTCATAGACCACCATCTTAACCAACTCATATTTATACAAAATAGCTCCTAAATTAATTAAAATTCTACAGCCCCAAGCAAAAGCTTGATGGGCTTTTCTACCCAGAACAAAGCATCTTGGTTTCAAAGTTGTTTCTACTCATCTGTCACCTAACGTGCTCTGGTACTAGCTTGTTTATAAGCTTTGGGAAAGCTCCAGATAACTGTTTGAACATTCGAACAGAGAGAGAAAGAGATACCAGATTAAGAAACTGTTTGAACTTAACATCAGTTATGGTTTGGATTAAGAATGGTTGGTTAAGGAAAGTGGACTAACGTACCTCTTGTTTGAAGTTGAACAATGGTGGTAGAGGTCGGCCGTTTGGAAGACGAGCAATGCTCACGTAACTTTTCTCTTCCTCTATGGTGCTGCCTTTGCCGTTGTCCACGCTTTCCTCAGGTTTGGCATCGGTTTCAAGGTCCACTACGTTATTCTTTGCTTTATCTGCATCCCTCGGATGTACAAGTAATACATTCACACAGAGGACACCGCAGCCAAACGGATTGCGAAATGGTATGTTGCTACGATCCTAGTGGGAAGTGTTTGCTGGTTCCGTGACCGTGTTTTCTGCAAGACGATATCCCAGTGGCCTGTGAATCCTCAGGGACATGCTCTGTGGCATGTCTTCATGAGTTTCAACTCTTACTGTGCAAACACATTCTTGATGTTTTGTCGAGCTCAGCAACGTGGATGGAACCCAAAGGTAAAATACTTTCTGGGTGTTCTTCCTTATGTCAAGATGGAGAAGCCAAAAGCACAATGAGACGAGAAGTGGGGGAAGAAAACGCACAGAGGAAGAAGACCATAAATATAGTATTTTTGTTCATCATTTTGTCAGAAATCTCAACGTTGCTAATTTTATTTTATTTATTTTTTGAAGTGAAACTCTCTAGAAACAGTCTAGATTTTTTTTTCTTTTTGTCTTGTATTAGTTACTGGGGATTATGATCTTAAGAAGGAATAATATTTTTAATTATTCTTATATTAATTTCTCAGTACCACTGTTCATCTACCGTAATGTTATTGTTCACCTGTTGGAAAAAATTCTTGTTCGTCACCAATAGTATTGTTCATATTTGCCAAAATTTGAATAATAAGTTAACATTTAATAAAAAACCTATTTGGCTAAAATGCTAACAAGATATATAATACATTAATGTGCTAACAATAATATTTGATATTATTATTAATCTGCTAACAATCGAATTACACCGATAACAATAGTAAGGTATTGGTTTGTATTGTTAACAAGTATTAGTTTTTATTGTTGACAGGTTAAAAATAATATCAAATATTATTGTTAGCAGGTTAACAAATATTATATCTTATTGTTAGCTCATTAACATGTCTCATACATATTGTTAACACGTTATAAGTATCAGATATTAATGTTAACATGTTAACCAAATAATTATCCAGTAAATTTTAACTATCATAACATGCTAACAATGTACCTACCTTACTGTAATCGCTTAAATTCTAATTAATGAAGAAGATGTTAAAAAAAAAGTAAAAAATATTTGTTTTTTTTTACAAAGTTAACATGATAACAATGATTACAACAAATTACATAGAATTATATCGATAACAATGGCATATTATATGCTAACATTAGTATCTATTGATTATACCGTTGTGGTGGTGATGATGACCAGAGACGATATATATCGGATTGTTTAATTCTAATTTGATCGGCTTTAAAGAGTTTCCTACAAAAATCAGACAAATCGAAGTACAAATTGGACTCGTTGAACTTGAAACTGAATCAATGGCAATGTGGTAAGATGGATCTGCAGGAAGATAGTGATGACTCAGCCATGAGTACTGGATTTTTGTGAACGATTTTGAGATGATAAAGAATAAAAAATGGTGAGGTGAGAGAATATGTGAGCAGATTTTTAAATTAAAGAAAAAAAGGTAAAGGGGTGTTTTATAAATTTCTTTATCAAAACACTGTAGAAAAACGTGTGAGATCACGCACCTAATTATTTACGATTCTTCTGTTCCTACTTATTGCAATTTCTCATTCAGAAATGGATTTAACTTTTTATTTTTGCAAAAATCTGCGAATGCTATCATATGTTACCCAAATTAAAAATCGTGTTATCACTAGGCACTATGTTGTAATTATAATTTGTATATCTGATTCCGTAACAATATTAATCTTCAAAATTGGC